TAGCACTTCTCAGTTGACACCGTTGCGACTTAGCACTCTTTCGCCTCCCTCGTCCCTCTCGCCTGTGTCAAGCTCCCTTGGTAAGGATCATGAGATGATGATGCGAGCCTATGATTGTACATATCTTTTTCATATTGGCCATGATCGCATGTCAAGGACGTCATCTCGCAAGGACGTCATATCGCACGACAGTCAATTGACATACGCAATGACGTGAGAGATGCAAGATCAATATACTTGTGTCTGCGAAGTACTACACTTGGCGTCAATGACATCGTTTATTTAGATCTTATCTTCTGATCTGCATCATGTGCTTATGAATCTCACTTATAACCAGGAAAATGTCGAAGTCCCTATCATCTGGATTGAATCTGACCCAGGATGCATCTAATTTGGAGGTAATCCATTGCTGCCTCTCTTCTTCCTTGTTCTTGTCGTACGCCCTGTGATTTTTCTCGTCACATTCCACTACCAATTTGTAGTCTGGAAAAAATAGATCCAACCTGTAAGCTCCGACTCGATGCTGGTATATCATTCGTTCTCCTTGGAATGCTTTCATGAGCGCAGTGATCGTATTCAACTCGTGTGTGTAAGCTTTGAATCTCGTCGAAAGTGGTATTCCAAGATCCTTCGCGATCGCCAAACTGTTGGGCAGGCGAGAATTGTAGACCAGGTAGCTTACGCCTTCCTTGGTGACAAAACGAGTCCCCATAGCGTTTCGATTGCCAGTCACTCCTATATCGCGACCAGTGGCAACGTAGTCCAGGGGAACGTGCAGCTGAACCGCCTTCTTTGGATCCTGATACCCGAGCACTCTTGCGATATCGTTCCCTTTGTAATACCGGATCCCGTCACACCATAGGTTCTCGATGCACTGCCCAACAGCAAAAACTTCATCCGCAGATGCGGATTCGTTCTCAGCCACAACGTCAAGTTTCCGTCTCTTGTTCGGACGCGCTTGGTGTGAGGTGACACCATCAGCTAGGACCCACTCCCGAAGAGATGTCACAGATCGAGAACTTGACTTTGCGGGGAACATGAGGAAGCCTTCCTTGTCTATATACCATGCGCTGCGCTCGTTTGTATCGACGATATGACCATTTTCAAATGTTATGGGAAGCCCTTGATCCATCAGCTCAGCCAGTGTGCTTTTGCGGTGTGTGCTCACGTGGGTCACGACCGCTCTCGTCCGTTTAGAGTATCCCAATAAGTCCGCGACATCATTGCTGCGAAACCAAGGATCTCTCTTCTCTTCTCCCACCAGGAGAACTCGCACGCTTTTGTCGTCCGATTTGATGAGCTGATGATCCGCGTCGAACGTGAAGATCGCCATTGTTTCTCTCCCTCCCCTCTCTCTATACGAGCGCGTGCGACAAGAAACCGAGACTTTCGGACGCACGATGCCGCATTTGGATACCGTCACGTTCTCCATCTCGTTCCTTAAGCCACGTTCAGAACCGGACGACAAGTATGTGAGAATGCTCTGGGTAGAGGAGTCCCCAAATGACTTGGTTACATGCACTGCAGACGCGCAGTGCATGTACAAAGATACATTGTAAGAGGACGCTGGAAATTCATCTACACGTCAAAGAGTCCGGGAGTTAGGGAGGGGGGTACGAATAGGGTATACGAACCGTACCCCCCCGCCCACCCCTCCCAATCCCACTGTGCTCATTTGGCCACCATCGCCTCTTCGAAGTCGACCAGTTGCTGAACCGTCTGTATTCATACCGCAATCATGCACACATACGTCGTAAGTCGTATCACAAGGACGCCGCTTTTTATCTCCCACGTACGGTAGAAGGCCATGTACGCTTCCAGAGGGGCCGCCGGAAAGGCTACGTTTCGCGAGTTGAACGTCACCACCTTCAGAGTCAACGGTCTGCCCCTCGCCGACGTTGCCACCTCCGCGAGCGCCACCGATCTCAAGTACGGGCTGCTCGACTCCAACCTCGTGCCCGATCTAGCCGCGACCAAGATCGTGTCCGGCGCCTTTGTCGTCGGATCGTTCGCCACCCCGATCGACGCCGGCAGCAACTCCCTCACCGTCGGCGCCATCCATTCCGCCGCGATAGACACGGGCGACCACGACATCGACGCCGGCGGCGGCACCGTATCGGCCTCGTCGCTCGTCGCGTCGGGAGAGGTCTCCGCTTCGAACCTAGCCGCGAGAACGGGCGAGTTCTCCAGCGACCTCACCGTCCGGGGCAACCTCAACGTGATCGGGAGCCTGGACTACATCGACAGCACCTCGCTCTCCATCGCGGACAAGAACGTGATCCTGGCCAAGACGTCCGACCCGACCGACGCTCTCGCGGACGGCGCAGGACTCTTCGTGTGCGGGTCCGCCTTCCCCGACTCGAACGACGCCGTCTCGTTCACCTGGAACACCGGCAGCAACGGTGACTACTGGCTCACCAAAGGAGGGGCCCTGGCCCTCCGCTCGTCCAACGGCTCGAACGCCTCCATCTCCGCCGGCCCCACCGGCGCCCTCCTCCTCTCCACGGACGACGGGGTCCACCCCAGCAGCGCCCTCAAATTCGGTTCCTCCCTCCTGCCCGACAGCTCCAGCGTAGACGTAGGGAGCTCCAACGATCGGTGGGGGAACTTCTACGGAAGCAACGCCCGCCTGTCCGGTACGATCGTCTCCGGGAGCATATCGATAGGGAGCAACTCCCTGTCCCTCACCGGGCCCGTCGCGTCCTCCTCAGCCCGAGCATCCGCAATGTACTCCACGACCGCGGACACCATCTCCATGCTCGTCGCCAGCAACCTGAGTCTGACCGCAGGCGCCACGACCAGCATCTCCACGGACGTGCTCCCGGGAAGCAACGGCGCCTACGACATCGGAGCATCTTCCAACGCCTGGAAGAACCTCTACGCCGGCACCGCCACGCTCTCCGGCTCCCTCTCAGCCAACGGAGCCACGCTCAGCGCTCCCCTCGCGCTCGGCT